TTTTTTGAGAGGACAGGGAACTCAACCAAATCATACAATGGAGAGACCCCAAACCAACTGTCCCCACCCTTGTACTTTGATCTTTCTTGCCACTTCTGAGTGAACTGCTCTGTTCCAGAGGAAAGATGGTCAAACCCTTAATTTTTAATTGTGTGCATCCTCCTGTACAAATGGATTACAGCTCTCTTTTTTTTTTTCCATTTCAACTGCTATTATCTGAGTTTATTCCCTATCAGAAAAAATCCCGGTACTGTTAAAGATTATAGCAATTTCAAAATGGCAAAACTGGACAGAATTTTGAATTTCCTGATTTTTGCGGTGGTGTGTGCTAGAATGAAATATTGGTACGCAGCATTTTTGGGTCGGCAGTCCTGTAAGACACTAGATAGAATTAAAATAAACAATCCTGCTTGTGCAGGACTGCTGTTGGCAAGTGCTGCTCCTGGAATTAAGCATTCTGTTGCTACTTACAAATAGAACAATATATTTAAATTATGTATTTGAGGGCTTTTTTTAGTAGTCCTTGGATCGCATTTGGCCATTAAAAAGATTGCGTTGACTGTATGTTTAGTGAGTAGATTAAAACTACACAACAAAGGTTTTTTGAACGTGTCTAGAATTGGTGAACATAAGTAAAATAATCCTGTCTTCTAAAGAGATTAAGGGTCTCAAGGGATGGAAAGGAGAAAGAGAGTAGATAAGAAGGCAAATAACATGAGTCAAATTCAAGGTTGCTGTCAACTACTAACCTGAACAAGATAAATCCTTTTGCTCTGACGGCTTGTCCATGTGCCAAAGCTAAGCTGCCTGCTACATGATGCCGAAGCTAGCTGTGTTCAGAGGAAAGGGTTGGGAAGGAGAAGTTTAAAAATTCTGGAGGAAAGAAGTCAGGTTGGTGCTGTTAAGTTGGTATCAGTTGTCTTGCACTGAGGTACCTAAAAATGGAACTTGTCCCTGCGGGACCTATTTTGGTGTGGTTAGGTTTTTGTGTTGTGGGGTTTTTTTATTTATTTATTCTTGGATTGGTTTGGTTTTGATCCTTTTATAACAGATCAGTGTCCCAGGCCACTACCGGAATCAAGAACAGAATATTTATCTTGATACACGCAAGAACTGTATTTTATTTTGCATTGAAATGCTTATCTCTCATGTCATCTCAGTCAGCTGTGCCGATTTCTGGAGCTGAACACATCCCAGTAGCAAATCTTAATGAGGAATAGTTCATGCCACATACTGAATTCGGAGAGTATGCTCATGAATCCTAATAAAATACACAGGTAGTTTTTCCCTCTTTGGCTCTAGTGTTTAGCATGCCATTTAATACAAGCTAACTATGGATGCTAAAATATTAAGGGTCAGTTATAAGTGCAACAGTGTGTGCAGTTACTTTGTGTGCTCAAAACATGTTTGTATGAAAAATTGATTGGTTAGAGAAGGAAGAGGAGTGTTGTCTCCATACGCCTCTTGGAGGCTGTATCTCTGCATAAGGAAAAAGGTAAGACATTGGCTTCTGGCTGCCTGTGTCAAAGTGAATCACTTTTTACCTCATAATAAAAGTACAGACACATACATGTGCAGAGTTGAATCTCTGAATTACACACTGGAGTTTGTATAAAATTGAAATTAGGGTTCTCAGTAAAAAAAAAAAAATTTGCTTTATTTCCCCTGAGATTTATTGATGAGATAGGTATTTTTATAGTGTAATAAATGAAATACTAACCACGTGTGTGCACCCAGAAATCCATAGATAACTGAATAACTGTCTAAATTGCATGTTGATGATTGTGAATATCAAATGGTAGCTTGGTTTTAATGAAGCTGTCTGTAGTGTGCAAGATCAAGTTTAAAACAAATGACTTAACCTACTGTTATGTGGGAGGGTTATGACAATAATTATCAAGCTACGCTACACCTTAAGCAAGTATTTTGAGGAGTCTTGTCAAAATATCTACACCTTAAGTATTTTGAGGAGTCTTGTCAAAATATCAGCTAAATTAATGCCAAAAATGTGATAATTCGGATGAGTAATGAAAAAGTTTTCAAATGGAAGTATTTAAAAATCTATTCATCCAGTTAGACATATTGACAGTCACCACACTTTATAGTTGTACAGTCTGAATTTCCAATGTTCACTTATGAGATTTCACTTGCGACTAAGCTGGAGAGAGAAAAGATCGTTCTGCCTTTGCCTCACCTTTGCACAAGGAAGTGACAATAAAGGTCTCTCACATGCTAGAAAGTATTGTATGTCCCACAGGAGAGTGTTTCATGTCTATGATATTTTTTTGCCTTTTTAATGTAATGTCAGCTACACCTCTATACATCTCGACATGAGTGTGAGTGGTAAGGAAAACTATTTTGTCCAAAAACGTTTTGATGTTTTTGGAATACTGACTTGATATGTTACCCAAGCCTGAAACAAAATATTCTCGAATAGGTTTCTGTCAGTGCTTCCTCTCCTCTGCCTCTTCTTTTCACCCCCTTTCCTGCTTTCCCTCCTGGCTTTGTATGACCTCCCCTTGAGGATCTTGGAGCTTCTTCCTGTGCCGGCATGAGCCAGGTGCACTCATACAAAAAGGTGCGATGTGCATCCTCTGTAGCGGTCCTGAGTATGGATGGTACTTGAGTAGAAGTCCTGATCTGTGTATGTCTGGATGTCAGCTGGTAGCCAGCTGTCAAGGTTTAAGGTGAACAAGACGGCCACATTTTTGCAAAGCTTGCAGAGTGCCAGCTCATCTCCATGATTATTTTTTTTTTCAGTTCGGTGTGAGAGTTTCTGAAATGCCAGAGGGAACAAAAAGAAAGTTTTTGAAAGTGAAGAAAAAGGGGAATCACAAAAACCCTGGGTGCTTCCTCCAGAATGTTTTGAATTTTAATTCTCCTCAATCTTTCCATTTTCACTTGAAAGGCATTGTAGGACCATGGCATTCAGGAATGGCACAGACTACTCAGGTCATCTCTTTTCTGTCCCCTCATTGTAATGGATCCATTTCTACAACAGAAGCTTCTTTAGAAGCTAAACTTAGAATTCTGCTGAATTTAGTGTAAAGGTAAAGTACTGGCATTTGCTAGCTCATTAGTTAAGCTCCATAACATGTCTATCCACTTAGGTATTAGTAGGTTTTTAAAATCCTGGTAAAGAAAGTGCAAATTGGGCTATCTTCCTAATCTTGCGCTTTAGGTTTATGCAGATTTATCCAACTATACATTGACTGTGAAAGTAGTGTGAATATTTTATTAGACTTTTGTTTGGAGGTAACTTTTAATTAGTTATGCGCCATAATTGCAAAATGTTATAATCCAAAGGAATTTTCAAGAAACCTGAGGAATGTTAAGACCATCTTGTTAAGTCTAGATTGTTTTAAGAAGCAGGAAGGGTAGACAGTGTAACATTTGTGAGATGACCTGTGATTTGTAGTTTTGAAAGCTGAAAAGGTGAAATGAATAGGCAATAAAAGAAGTAGGCGTTAAGGATAAAGTGCCATTCAAAGCTTTTGTTGTTCTGCACCTCTTGCAACTAAAGCACTTCTTGTGACCAGGTTTGTTCTGTCCAAGAACATTTTTGAGGGTTGAACTTGAGATAAGAAAGGTATAGTATTATATAAGATACCTTACATGAAAAAGACTACCATCACGTTCTTTGCAAAAGTAAATACTATCGAATGTAATTATTTTTGTCATGATTTACAGTGCTGATTTCAGATACTAGGTTTTTTGTATTATATACTTTTTTGGTTATAAACATTATCTAAAGTGTTAAAAACAGAAGAGGTGAGCTTGTTTCGAAGCGTGTGGGTTGTACCCAAATAACACATCTGCATTATAAACTCATTGCCCTTTCTTAGTCTGATTTCTGCTTGTATGCTTTTTAATCGCTGAACCAGCTTTAAATTTCATCAGTGCACCTTTCCTGCTCTCTTTCCTACGTGTTGAAGCCAGGGAGTTCAGAGGGGGCGAGTGCAGTTCAGCCACCCTTGCCTCTCGTAGCTGCATAGTCTTGCTGCTGTGCCAGATGGCAGCTCCATGCTCTCGGGTATGCTCCTGGCATAACTGGGGCTGAGACACTGCCACTTGCATGGAAACTGGGGGTAGAAAAACCCTGCTCCGCAGCAGGGATGACATATAATCATCAGCCGATCGACATAGGTGGTTGGCAGTCAGGGCAATTCCTCTTCTCCCCTTCTCTTCCTTCCCGTCCAGGGCTGGAGGGCTCAAGTCAAACCATTTCCTTCTTGAGTGGCAGCAGTTGATAGTTGTTGAATTTTGGCAATTTCTTCCAAATTGTGGGAGCTTCTGTGATCTAGCAACACCTGCGGTTGAGGGGAATGAGATACTGCAAAGCGATCGTTTTGTGCTGATGAGGGTGAAGCCCTTAGCTGGCAGGCTCCTTGCCACTTGAAGAGACTCCCAAGATTGCTGCAGGGGAGTAGCACTTGGAATTAAAGTCACCAGCAAAAGAAAGTAGAACTGTGATTGCAATTCATCACTCTTGTTCCAATCACTGAATATTTATCTGTATTATCAGAAAATTTTAAACTGGTAACTTCATGTCCTAGGCTAGAAGACAATTGCTTTTACAGTAGTGGTGCTTTATCCCTACAGAGCAGTTATTTTTAACTTGTCCCTGTCTAGCTGAAATCCTATTTATGAATATATAAAGGCTTAGCTGAAGTGAATTATTGGTGATCATATATGAACTAGTAACACTCTTACTGCTCTAGTTTTTAAATTCAAAACAGTTACCAACCCAGTGCCAATGTTTCCATCTCTTTCCAGAGTATTAATGAAGATTCTTTAATACTTGTTATCATCCTTTTTATTAGTTTATATACATATATGTGTGTGTTTGTGTGTGTATACGCATACATTGTAATATGCTGTAATGAAATACTCATAACTGTTTTCACTGGGCTGCTGTACTCTATGTACTGGATTTATATACTTGAGTTGGAAAATAAAAATATTATTGCCTAATAATTTTTCTTATCTCTCTTCTGCAGTCATAATGAACGAAAGGTAACCTGCAAACATCCAGTAACAGGACAGCCATCGCAGGACAACTGTATTTTTGTTGTGAATGAACAGTAAGTGGCATCTTTTTCAGTCTATAAAATACATGTTTTAAAACTTATTAATATTGAAGTAAGATTCGGTGTTTGCAAATTGCAATATTTAATTTATTTTTTCCAAATCAAATTAGCATATAACAAGTTTTGCTTGTTTAAATTATTTGAAAGTAATATTAAATATTTAAGACTATTTTTAAGACAAAAAGCACAGCCCAAATTAGTTATATGATAGAAATGCATCGCGTTTATGCACTGTGTGAATTTCCACTTGTCACTTTAATTATTCTGTAGTGTTAGCAAACGACCTATCTATAAAATAATAATCCAATAAACTTCCAAAAAGGAATAAATTTTGTAATCACTTAGGGACAATCATGCGCCTTTATTCTATCATGTTTTGCCTGATAGTTTCTTCTCAATAGGTTATTTTCTTGGCCAGTTGGGACACTTTATGAATCACTGGATAACTTGGTTTTGCTATCTTTGCATTACTTTTGTAGAATACACAATAATATGATAAGGTATGCACGGAAGTCATACCTGACCTTACAATTTTATATGTGGCTGCGTATTGGGTGTCCTACTCACCACCATTGCTGCAACATGTTATTTGGCGGCTAGAGTCAAAACCGTCAGAACTGCAATATGTTAAATTTTGCAAGCGTGCATGTTCTCACTGAAGGGAGGCAAAGCCATACGGGGTCTTTGGAGAGCGTTTCTTCCCATTTCCATCTCATGCTCATACCCGTCGTCTTCCCTGCCACCACCACCTTAAGCTAATAGAGAAATCCTATTTTAAAATGTCTTAAAATTCATCTATAATGCATTTAAGTTTAAAACACAGTGCAGGTAACTTTACAATGGAGTGTGAATCGCTTTCAAATTGAAAAAGTAGGACACAGGCTGTATTAGGATACATCTAGGGGTGCTTTTTAATAGCAGTCTGCACACACAGCATGTTCTAGTGCTATTACATATTCTATTTTCAGGACTGCTGCAGCAATGACATCTGAAGAAAAGAAGGAGCGACCAATAAGCATGATATGTGAAGCAACTAACTATAATCTGACATCAGATTATGCTGCTCATCCAATGAGCCCTGTGGGCAGAGTAAGTCTTTATGTAGAAATTAAATTAAAATTAAAATCATGCAGTTACTCCACAAGGGACTAGATAGTGCTATATATTTGTATTCCATTGAAAAAGAGAAACAAAGAATGTGTCTTTTTCAGGACACTCGTCTCCTTTTATGTTTAATTTGGAAACTGAGGTGTCTGAAACAAATTATCACTAAAGCTGTAATTTTTATCGGGTATCTCAGATCTTATGATTTGCACATCCTTAAGTTGTTTACAGAATCTGACCTTTCCAAGTGGTGTGAATGAGCAAAATCTTGAGTGACTGATCAGACATGTGGGTAAGCATTGTTATGGAAATTGCTCAATCAAAAGCAATTGGCTATATTTCTCCAGGTAAATCAGAGAGAATTGTAATTGGGTATAAGAAGTAGTTACAAGAGAGATGGAAGGTGACCCTGTGGTAAAATAAAAGGGCAGATGATAACATTTGCTGTCATTGGACCAGAAGTAGAAGTCCTGTTTTCCTAGGAAAAAATCCTGGGAAAAGTCCTGGAGATTCATAGGCCACCTGAATGCGCATCCCACTTTCTCCATTCACCCAGCTTCTCAGAAGGTTAAGGTAAATGCCCAGATGTTTATTGAGGTGAGGGATTCAATTATATCTACTTTAAGTTTCTTGGATATGCCTGATGAGGCTATTGCATGATTTTTTTCCATCTTTGGACAGCTTTCATAAAAGCAAAGTGCAGTTGCTATATAATTCAGAATTTCCTTAAGTTTGCTAGGACACCAAGATAACAACTTTGATCAGTGATGACAGACAAGAGCCCTGTAATCTCTTCTACCCAGCAATTAACATTTAAACAAGGAAGAAAGCCCCATACTGTTGCTGGTCATTGAAAACTTTAACTCTGAGAACTGCTTTTCAGCAGATGAATCCAGCCTACAAGAGACAAATAAACTTTGGAATGTGTTTTAACTGAGAAAATTCCTTGATTTCAGAAACTTGGATTAAAATAATTTCTTTTCCATCTGGTAGTAAAACATAGTAAGATTTCTTTAAGTGCATTTTGGAATCTTTTTTTGTTTTAAATGTCTCATTAGACAGGCAGAATCTTTGACCTACATTAGGAAACCATTATTTAATGAGAAAGGTGTCCTAGTCTATCCGTGTTGCTGGGGGAAAAAAAGGAATCACAGATGAATTATAAACAGTAACAAAATCCATAATTGCAGTTTTCATATGTATGAGTCCATGCAGGAAAGCAAATTTAAAACAAAACAAACCAACAACGACAAAAAAGCAAACCCAAAACCAGCTAAGCCATAAAACAACCAAGCAAACAAAAAACCCAAGATAACTTATTGTTTAGAGTTGTAATAGTGACGTAGATTGCAATAGTTACACAGAAAATGAATTATGACAGAACTAACTAGGAAGCACTCTCAGGTTATATGTAGGAAAGAAATTGCCATTTAGGAGCATGTGTTTTACAAACACATTTTTCACACTCAGCTTTCAAAACAGAAGTTTAAAATGCCCTTTAGCATGTTTGTTTCATAGTGCTCTAGAAGGAAATTGAGATTGCTGTGGCTCAGTTAATGTAATTTCTTTACTTTCATTGATTAATGGCACTTTAGCTTCCTGTGGAAATGATTATACTTTGAAAAAATAGATTTTTCTTCTTTTTATTCCTTCTGTCTGTTATTTAAATGCACTTAAAATATTAATATGATTACTATGACTATGTACAATTACTGTACATCAGGTTTCCAATGTAAATTCGTCTGAATTACTGCAACACCATTTTAAACCTTTTGTTTTCAGGACATGAATGCTTGCAAAGTAGAACCACAGCTAATACTAGCCAGCGTTTCCTGGTGGTTATTTAAGGCTAATGAGTTGAATCAGTTTTAAAGATAATTATGTAGAAATCACCCACTGGTTGTACCTGGATACGACAACTGACTTTTTTTGGTTTTATTCATATCTCCCAACAGAAGACACTGAAATTCTTAGCTGTCTTATCAACCTATGAATATAACATGTAGAGGCTCTCTGTATTGCAGCACAATAAGAGAGGAGTAAAATATTGGTGAGGAAAGTAAATTACAGAGCAGAAGATAGCTTCATGTAGTTGCCACACCTATTTTTTAGGTGTTTCTGTTTTCAGAGATAACTCACGAACACACCTAATATTGAAAGGTAATGAGGAATGGAAGAAAAGTTTGTGGCACAACTAAAGTTTCAGATAGTTGAGGGGTATAGAAATACGTTCTCCCTTTTATTAATGTTAATTGATCCCGAATGGATATGGAACTTGGAGAAGTTTCTACTTTGTGGCAGAAAGACTCACTGGAGTCTAATGCTGCTGCTGTCTAGAGGCTAAAATGAGGTGAGACAAAAATCAGTCTCTCCCCGGTAAAAGTCTTATTTCTAATCGTCTTTTCCCACTATGTACCTGATGCTGGCCAAATAACACACTACACCTCTGCTAAGTGCTGCTTTTTCCCTATTATTAGCTTGAAGTGTATTTCTAAACTTGAAGCCAGTAGCACAGACCTCTGACTGTGAAAAAGATCTACATAGGCTTGAGATTGCTACAGAGGTATTTATTTCCATCCCTCTTTTTAAAATTAAGAAGTTGGGCTCGTGTTTTTCTTCTTTTCTTATTTTTTTTTTCCCCGCTGTTAGAATCACTACCAAGACAAATATGATTATATGTCCTGGAATGCATTCAGGGAATTAGCTTTTTAATGTGTAAAGTCAGTCATGTTACCAGTCACCCTCCACAGTTCATCTCCCCTGCTCTTCATTGCTGTCCTGATTATCAGCAGAATAAGGCTAACAATTTTCTCACAGTAAGTGGAATGCAGTGTTAGCCCAGGATAGCTGCTGCAGAGCTCCTCCTGTCTCCATTACAGCTAGGACTATCACATCGTTTATAAATATTCATCAGTTTGTTTGTAGATATTTCATACAGTGCTTAAGCCAGTCCAGCTTTAAATGGCTAGTTTAGCTATAGCCATACGTGCCTTCTCAGGATCCAGGTTAGCCAGAAATTTTGGAGTAGTAGTCATGAGATACGTTAGTAACCAGCATAGTAAAGAGGAGCAATGTGAAGGGCCGTATTGGTGCTCAGGGCTGGGCATCGGTACTGCGTTTTCATGGTTTATATTCAGATTAGTCCAGTAGTGCTCCTTGTGCCTCTTACATTTTAGTCTCATCTAAAATGAATCCAGTTTGCTGTACTATGCAAACCAAAGCACAGTAAGAGTGAATGATTGGGAGATTTGCTTCACGAGCAACCTCCTGGTCCAAGCTCAAATGCTGAGGCAGAAACCCACTCAGCTCATGGAAAACTGCAACATTGGAAGGCACCGAAATTGCCTACAAAATCCAGAAGGCAGCATCATGTTGGTTTGTGGTTTGGAAGATAATGTAAGCCTTGGAGACTGGAAACATATTTTTAAACAGAAGTTGAAACTAGCAAAGATTTAGATTTTCTGTCTTTGAGTTCACATGGAGAAAATTTCCTTATCAGCAAGGTTCTCAGCCTGTCTTTTTCAAACATAGATGTAATAAGTTTAGTGTTAATTCATTACTTTTGTACTAGTTCTTAAACTGGGGAAGAAGCCTTACATAAACTCCATGTCCTCTCCCAGCTAAGCAGAGAGAAGAGCAGCTTGCAGAGTGATGAATCGCGCAGCCCCAGCTACTGCCTGGTCTGTTGGCCAGAGATCAAAACCCTGCCGGTTTTTCTTTTCTTCAGGTTTGGGAAAGAATGAATGATAGTGGGTGAACTTCCTGGCTTCTTTCTCAGTACTGGAACTGTATATAGGGTCCATCCCGTAGGTTCTGGTTTTGGAGGCATCACAGTTGCTGGGACAATTCCTTAGAACGAGTCAGATGGTACCAGACGGTACTGTAGGGTTGCTAGCTCTGTTACCTTCTACACCTTCCAGCAAGTGAGTAGTAGTTGGACCCTTCATTTACTGTCCTCCGTTTCTCTTTGCCTTCTCCAGAATCTGGAGCTGTGCAATATGTCCTGTATTTTCAGTGCTGTGGGGTAAAAAGTATTTGAATCCTTCCGTTCTTTTTTTTTTGCCTTACTTCCTGTTTCCCCAGTTTGAGATATATTAGATATGTGCGTGAGAGAACATGGGATGGCCAGGGATCCCAGACATAACAAGTGGAGGAGGTGATCTAAAAAGTTTGAGATCTCAGAATTAGTTTATATATACACCTACGATATTTCCACATCCTAAAGCAGTCATTGTCCCGAGGCTCAGAATTTGTTGTGAAGAGTTATTCTCTTTATGCAGGGTGTGGAAAAATGATCACAAGTCACCTGAAGTGATCTCTGTATTAACTAAAATTAGAAACCGCTTGTGATGCTCTCTTTAATTAGTGGAAGTTTGTATTCACGGTTGGCAAGATGTATAATTAACCCATTAAAACTTTGTGAAGTTGGAGTTAATGTGGTTTGTTATCAGACCTGTCTAAAAGATATTGATGTATTTTATCTGAATTTGTTATTAGACTTGACATTAGTAGTACTTGTGGTTGGTTGTGTTATCAGAAGTATCCTTAATCTGTTTAGTCATTGTACAGGCATAGGAAGTCTGGAAAGTCTCTTGAGATGTTTTGAACCTTTAATACCTAGTATTAGAGCAGGTATGAGTGTTATAAATTACTTCTGATCAAAATCTTGGCACAGCTCTTGTGTGATGTGCCAATGTAATAGCCATACACGTTAACTGAGAAGGATGTAGAGTTAATTTTATAATGTGCTCTGGATTGTTATAGGTTCTCTGTATATTCCTTCTTTACAGCTGAATGTTGTAATTTTTTTGGCTTCTTATGAACCTTTGTCCATTTTGCACTGGTAGAATTTTTCAGATGAAAATGTGAAAGATCTTTTTCTCTTAATTGTAATTAGATTCTCAATTGCTTGCTCTGTCTTGCTTTCCAAAGTTGAGTCAAATTTCTGTATCTCCAAAGGAAATTAGAAGTGCTCTGCTTTTATATTCCCTCCTGATTCTTTCAGAAAAGAAATACAAAGTGACCTTATTTCCTTGTGTTGTAGGCTTAGGACAAACACACATAGCTTTTGTAATGTTACTCTTTTTTGGCTAAGCTATATTCTGTTCTCAGTTAATGGTATCGTTGACAAAAGCTGCACATCATTTTAAATTGCAGGTTTCAGTTTATGATTAACCTACTGTGGAATTCTCTCTGAAGCATGTACAAAACCTAACTCAGTTCTGTGATGCGTGTTGAGAGAATTTCCATAAAGAAACCCCATACCCTAATTTGGAACAAAACCCAAGGTTTGTTTAGCCTTCCTCCTTTAGGAACTTTGCATAACCTTATGATTAGTCTCAGTAGTAGAGATGGGGAAGCTGAGGCACAGGATTACATTGTCTCTGTTCAAATGGTGTATTTGGAGCAGATCCATGAACACAGCTTAAAAAATTGACTTGAACTTCACTTCTTTTGTGGAGTGGGATACTTTGCTGTGTCACATCACACGGTCTCTGAGGCACTAACTCTTAGAGAATGTAAAACACAAGTAAACATTCAGCTTTTTTAGTTGCAGAACAAGCTTTCTAAATGTCGGCTGAAAGGAATCAAGTGTGAATTGGCAAAGCAATGCATGTTCCTTTATGCCTTTTCCAGTTTCTTTTGGTTACTCAAGCAGAAGAACGATAAAATCTAAAATTGGTTATTTATCCTACTTCTCTTAATCATCTGTGATCATTGCATAGCTGTAAGCTTGTAAAAGGTATAAGCAACCGCAGCTAAAAGTGCTGGAGTTCCTGGGCAAAAGATTCAGAGTAGGCCTTAGTGCAAGTAGGTGACATAATGAATATTCAAACCAGCTAAGAGATCATAGAGTGAAGGTTCTTGAGAGTGAAGAAAGAATAAAAAAAAAATATTATATCTTAGGAAAGGGGGAGTCACATTTTGTTGAAATCTGAACAAGTTTTTATGGATTAGGCCAGTATTGGAAGCAGGAAAGAGTAGAATTTTATTGACCAGGTGATGTAATTTTTCACAATTATTAATAGTTCTGTTAGTTTTACTTCTCTTTGTGCAGCTTTTTAGCCTTTCTGTCTACCTTATAAGAAGGTCAGATATGTATTTGGTTGTTTTTTCCTGTTAAAAAAAAATCTTTAAGTATTTGTCTTGGGATTTTCTTTAAATTTTCTGCAGAGGAAAAAGAAATAAATGCTGAAGGCAGCAAAAACATCATAATAATCATTTATCTAAAAAGGAACACAGTTTGTATTCTGCAATCCCCTAGAGGAACACGTGTAAGAAAAAGATCTTAAAGAAAAGAAAATGTGTTATGATTTTTCAACAGATGTTGATGTCATGTTTTCTTTAACCTGTTCAATTCAATTTAGACATCACGATCTTCAAAGAAGGTTCATAATTTCGGAAAGAGATCAAACTCAATAAAGAGAAATCCTAATGCACCAGTTGTCAGACGTGGCTGGCTCTATAAACAGGTACTCTTCCCCTCTTCACCCCCTTCCTTTTTTTTTTTTTTGTGTTAAGTTGTGTAATGTACAAGAGACAACCATTTGCATAAAATACAATGATAGCAATACCAGAGTGAAGCTGTAAACTGTGAAGAACTGACACATGGTATTTTAATTAATAAGCTACTTATTGGTTAACATCCTGATACAAAGGAGTAAGGGCATCAGACAAGTGCAGAACATTTATGTAGTATATATACATATTTCTCTCTAAAACACCCAGAGGGCTTGAAAAATCTAGGCAGATGTTAGTAGTAAATAGCTGAATGAATTCCAGGCGTGCTGAGATGATGGGACAAGGATGTATGGCCCAGCATATTGGGTTTTTTTAAATTCTGAAGTTTCTTTTGTTAGGCTGTACCTCTTAATTTTTTTTTAAAAAGTAAGTAAATAATTTCAATAACAAATTGGCAATCAAGCATTTTTTTCCACATATGAAAAGAGAGAGTAATGCATGTTATCTTAACTTAAAGATAATAATCTTGAAAACCTAAAATGATCTCTGGTTTTCTTTTGAATGTAAACTAATCTGAAGTATGTGCTCTTTAGTATTTAGTGGCAGTGTACGTAGCCTGCTGTAGATTTGCTCTTCTGCAATACCAGACCTCTTGTACTTTCTTGCTCTGCAGAAATCAGAGTGGAGTAGTTTGATCAAAAAATTGAACAAAATTGATTAGGCCATATTAGGAATATATTTCATAAATCCACCAAGAAGCCTGTAAGAGCTTGTCATTTAAACTCAGATGAGGCAAATGTGTCTGTGTAATTTTGAATCTACTTTGTCATTTACTGTCCTGACACTGATAGGCTGGTAAGACCCGCATAGCTTTCTGGATGCTGTTGATGAGTCAGTTTTTAAAAATTACTGTCAGATTAAAAGATCTAGAGGCATCTGTTAGTGGATTTTTCCATCTTTAGATACTCTTGTGGCCTCTACTCTCATTCAATGTTGAGAGTGAAAAGTTGTCACAAAGGTGAGAGATTTTTTTGGTTTGTTTTGGGGCTATTAAACTTTTTAGCTTAAAAAAAAAGTCACTCTATTCCCGAAGTAATGTTTTTTGGATTTTTTTTAATTGAGACAAACAGTTAACTTGATTGAAATATGAAGTCCGAATTATAGCACAGGTGGTTGTGCACATAAGTATGTGTGTTGTGTAAGCTGTTACTGCCATGCATGTGAATTTAAAAATCTCCCCCTATAAGAAACACATAAGTTTGCTGATACTTTGCTGCCTGCTTCTGAATAAATTAGATTCATGATGACCTGGCTTTTCATTCTGAGGTCCTTTGTAGTGAGTTTTACATGTATGAAAAGATAAGGTTACGTACCTGAGCTAACTTACTGGAGTGCTCTAAAGATTCTTGCTGGTTTATGTCTCTTGTTTCATGCCAAACCATGGATATTCAGCATATAAAGCAATACAAAGATGTTGCTTTCCTAAACATTATACTCTTTGTTCACATTACCAATTCCATTTTAGTGTATGATTGTATTATTTTACTAATGAAGAAACATTAGCTATATTTTAAGATCACAGAACTATGCTGGTTGGAAAGGGAACCCTTGGTCACCTAGCCCACCCTCCCCTCCTCAAGCACGCTCAGCTGGAGCGAGTTGTCCAGGACTGTGTTCATTCGGGTTTTGGATATCTTCACAGATGGGAACTGCACCACAACCTCTTCAGGCAACCTGTGCCAGTGTTTGATTACTCTCACAGTAAAAAAGTTTACCTCTGCTCAGGTGGAATTTCATGTTTGTTATTTTGTGCCCATTGCCTCTTGTCCTGTCACTGGGCACCAGCGAGAAGAGTTTGGCTCTGTCTTCTTTACAGTCTTCCATCAGGTGTTGATATGTTGATAAGATGCCCCCTGAGGTGCCCTTTCTCCAGACTGAACAGTCCCGGCTCTCACAGGCTCTCTTCCTACGGAAGATGCTCCAATTCTTTTATCATCTTTGTGGCCCTTTGCTTGATTCACTCCAGTATGTCCATGTCTCTCTTGTACCGGTGAGCCCAGCAATGAATCCAGTGCTCCAGCTAGACCTCACTAATGCTGAGTAGAGAGGAAGGATGTCCTCCCTCCATCTGTGGGCAGCACTGCTAATGCAGGATGCTGTTGGCTGCCTTTGCCGTGAGGGTGCATTGCTGGCTCATGATCAGCTTGTTGTCCACCAGGACCCCCCAGGTCCTTCTCCACAGAGCTGCTTTCTAGCTGATCAGCTCCAGTGTGTATTGGTGCATGATGTTATTCCTCTCCAGATGGAGGACCGAGCATTTCCTGTTGTTGAACTGCATGAGATTGTTCTCTGCCCAATTTCCCAGCCTGTTGAAGACCCTCTGAATGACAGCGCAACCATCTGGTGTATCAGCCACTCCTCATAGTTTGTATTATCTGCAAACTTGCTGAGGGTGCACTCTGTCCCAGTGTGCAGGTCGTTAATGAAGACGTTAAATAGTCTTGGCCACAGTGTCAACCCCGGGCGTAAACCACTAGCAGCTGGCTAGCGCTGGTGCCACTGATCACCCTCTGGGCCTGGTAGTTCAACCAGTTTTCAGTCTACCTCACTGTCCAAATGCATACTGTTGGACAGGTTTTATGTGTAAAATTATTTAAATGCTGTGATTTAATTGGCTTTTGGAAGAAGAGGGATTGCTGTATATTTCTATGTTGTAGTGGTAATTGAAAGCCAATTTATTTAAGAGTTTTACCAACAGATACTATCTTCAGAAATTTACGATGAAAACTTGTGCAGGTTTCTTTTTGATAGTAACGTAACTTTCTTCATATGTTTATATAATCACAGAGAACAGCATGTTTGGTTTGGCTCAGGGTGTGCTGTCTTATTGTATGTAATGCCACTCTTCTCTGATTTTTCTACTAATTTTTAAGTCCAGATTCAACTCTTTTTTGGAAGGTGTTTACTGTGAATGTACTGTTACCATAATAACACATAATCACAATCAAGAGGAAACAATACTTACTGAATACACTGATAGATGTACTTTAAAATAGAAAAGAATTTAAAATATGAAAACCACACGATAGTTTTGTGTGCCTCTCTGCTACGTCTGAAGAAGGCTGAAAGATCATTCCTAGCATGTCTCATTGCTGGCAGAATTTTACATGTGGCCATGTAGAAACCTGTTTGTGTTCTTGAGTGTTAAGATAAATGCGATGTTGTGTAACAGCCTTTTCGGAAAGTCTGTCTGAGAGTTTGTGATAATCCTTTGTACTGAAGAAGTTTGAGTATTTTCACATTGTACGCTTGATTTTTATTGCCAGTGTCCTTTGGGCCGAGGGTCTGGCATCCTAATCCGCTCCTGAGTCAGTGACCTTGTCAGCAAGGCGAGGAAGGCAGTCTCCCCTCCTTGTGTCTGCCTCTCCAGCTGTGAAATAGGAGCTGACTGCTATGGGCAGTGCTTCCAGACTTCATTAGTGTTTGTTAAACTGCTTTGAGGTCCTCAGAAGGAAGGTGTTTAGTTATTCTATTTATGAAAACACCTGTGGCAAAGGATTTTCTCAACTTTTTCTGAGTAGTATTTACTAACATTTGCTTTACCCTTTCTTCTTTCTCCTTCAGCTCATTTCCCCCACCCCAAAAAGAGCAGAGCTTGGAATATGAAGCTAGAAATTATGCTGAGTTCTCTCTCAAAAAAAGCAAACCAACCCCAAAACCAAACCCATCCCACCCCACATTTTTTCATTATAGAATCCCTCTTCTTGGTTGTCACAAAACCTATTTACTACAAGAATATTGATAATTCACATGTACCTTTCTTCTTGGAACAGATTAACATATTTATTAAATCTGATTCTGTTAGGATATGCGTGCTGCAATGCTCTGGCTTATTTACACTGCAGTAGTGGTGGCAGTCTTTCAGTCTGAGTTGTGCAGTGTAAATTGGTTATAAGCATAAAAGAAAATGAAATTGCTTTAGGAATAAACTTTATTTGGGAAAGAAATTTGCTCAAGATACATGAGTGGTAGTAGATGTTCAACAGAGGGTTTCCTCAGAAAACAAAGGAGGATGTACCCCAAGTATTGCCTTGCTCTTATCCTTTTTAAAAAAAAGTATGTTTTTTCGTTCAACTGTAGATTGTAGTCATCTAGCATGCTAAAATAAAGGGATCTTATTTATTCTTGGATCATGTTAACTTCAGACTTCCTGGTCTTTGTTTGCAGCATCAAGTCTTGTGATGAGAAGTCAAAGACACTTAAAATATCTTAGCCAAGAAAATGAACTATTAGCACAGAACCACCACAGTTATGTAGCACCTGTTTTACTTTATGGATTACTTCTGTTAACAGTCTGAAAATTCTTACTTGATCACTTTGATTAATACAGGACAGTACTGGAATGAAGTTGTGGAAGAAACGGTGGTTTGTTCTCTCAGATCTGTGTCTCTTCTATTACAGAGGTAAGTTCCGCTCAGGAGAGCTTCGTTTGCTAATTTTACTGGAAGCAGATAAATTTTGACACACCATTCAGATGTAAGAAATAAGAAGCTGGTACTTAACTTAATGGATTCAAATAGTTGTATAGCTGTCAATATCCAGGCCTGCTGCTTTTATCCTTTTTTTTTTTTTTTTTTCCTTCTTAATTACCAATTTCACGTAATTGCTTCCTGCCTGTCAGGTATGCTGAAAGGGCAAACCCATTCACAGCCACCTCTTTTATTAAATTCTGAATTCTAGTATTCTCACTGCTTCTGTTGCTAGGAACTAAATATGCCGGGTTAACTCTGATTTTTTTTTATATGCAAATTAAGTAACTGAAATGGGGATAGGAAAGGGGTAGTGCAGAGGAGCTGAAACTCTGCCTTTGGAATGATAAAGAGGATGTCTGTGCCTTTTGGGAATCTAATCAGTGTTCGTGAATACTTATAAAGTGAAATGTTGTCCAATTCCATATGAGTATAAGTCTTTGTTGTATTTGGAACAAAGAAATCTGTTGGTACCCATATGTAGCTACATAAGACTTATTTTACATGGGAAAAAATTAGCTGCTTATAATTCTAGTCTGGAGATATGTAGGTCAGAAAACTGATTCCTTCACCTTCATAGATTATTAACTGTAGTGCTCCTGAGCAAATGGGATTTGTGCATGTGGAAACGTATTCAGTCCTGAAAGAAGGTGTACAACTGTAATATTTTAAAGGAGGCTAAGAGCAAAGAAGATTGTAAAGCGTGGCAAAGTAGAGGAAAATAAACAGTTAATGTTATCTGCAGCCTTAACTGCAGAAGAAGGGTAAGAAAAGAGTTTTGGTGTAGGATGAGACTTCAGAATCGGTGGAAGTGGCGTTGATGCTGGTGATGCTGAAAGCAGTGGAGTTTCAGCGTAGGATGAGACTTCAGAATCAGTGGTGTTGATGCTGGTGATGCTGAAAGCAGTGACTGATGAATTTAAAACGCTGCTCTTTTAAAGTGCTGCATGGCTCTAATCTAATCAAGACAAGTCAGGTCATGAAACATAAGTTTTGTCTTTGTAACTGTTTTAGTTAACAAATTCTGAATTATTGAAATATAATCATTAAGCTTTGTTTCTTTACCCCAAGTATTACACATAGTTGGATAAATCACTGCCAAGTCAAAATTAGGTGATAATTTCAGTCCTGCAGGCTGAATTGTGATACAATTACACTGCATTTAGTTAAGCGATCATTATATACTCTGTGCTTTCTTATAGGGTTTTCTTATTTCAAACAAGTTTTCAGACTTTCTCTTCCAAAGGCTCTAAAGAAAATTCTGCTTTGTAGCTGCCTTAAGAACAGATTAAATTGACCTAAATCGGTGCACATGAAGTATCTCAAAATAAAACAAAAAAGCAATAAGCAAAACCAACAACAAATAAAATAAATCTGAACAGCTCTATAATCTTACTTTTTGATTTCTCATGTTAGTGTGCCAAATAAGCTGAAATACAAGCAGATAGCTTTTGGCTATCAATTACTAGAAAGCATTGAAAGCTGATAAACTAATTAAACATGTACAGTGATAGTTTTAAAGGTATTAGGAATGGCTACTAAAATATAAAAAGCTTACACTCTAAACCCTGTGCTTTTATGTTTTTGTTAATTCTGTCTCAGATATTGAAGACATGGAAAAAGGGGAGCCACGCGCTTACTCCCACATCGCATTTCTGGTTGCACGATTGTAGTTGGGGTTTTTTTGGGTTTGTTTTTTGCTTCTGTTAGTAAATCTTGCTGAACTTTTACAATTATGTTACAATGTTAGCAGCTTAAATCTAATTTATAGATGAAAAGAAAAATTATTTCATTGTATTTTTTCAGAGCTTAGAGAATACTCTTTTTCTGTTTCACGCGCGGATAAAAGACTCCCTGCTTTCGTATTGGAAGGTTATTGTTGTAACAAATAAGAGACCTTAGAGCTGGACAGAAGATCTGCTATTTTTTTTGGTTGTATTATTCATACGTAGCATACAAGTGAAGATGAGTATGGGGCAGTGTAATGTGTAGATAAAAGTTAGTCTGATGGGAAACAGATTTTTAAAATCTGGAAATGGAATGTAACAGTAGGTCTTTAACAAAAACCAAAGTGCTCCAGACGTGCAGCTGTTCAGTGGAACAAAAATGCTTAATGCTTTCAGTGGGTGTGACTTACTCAGTAATAAGTCAAAGTGTAATCTAGCAGAAGAAGGGAATTTTTCCCCAAAAGAGCAATCCAAATAAAGTAAACCCCAACATTTGCCATGCATTCTGGGACAGGGAAAAAAAGGCAGATTTTTTGTGTGTGTGTCTAGCAAAGAGTAAATATTTGAGAGAGGAAGGTGGGATGTTTTCAGGCTTACTTACGAGTACAGTTGAGTACATGAAAGTAAATCCATTCATTTCTTTTCTACCTTTTAATCGGAATAATTTTATGCTTAGTTCTCCAATTAAATAACTATCCAAGAAAGCATAATTTTTACATCTAACATGTCATGTAATGCTAAAATGGCTGGGCAGAGCTTTCCCCATGTGAATAACTTAAATGAAAGTTGTGGCTTTTCAGAATTCAGTGAGTAAAAGAGAACTAGGAAAAGATTTTTAAATCTGTGTATTAGAGGTAGTCCTTTTGTGCTGTTAACATGTATTTTAATTGTAACAGTATTAATTTTCTATGCTTGAAACTTTGGAATGTCTATGTTTTCATCTTAATTTTGTAGATACATAGTCATTTGTTGTGGGAAGTGTCCAACTAAGAGAAGCGTTATGGGGGACAGTCGCTTAAGATACTAGTTGTAAAGAGAAGTTCTGTATCTGAACTACAATTAAGATTGACTTTGTGAATTGCATCCAATTATTCCTTTATTAAACTATAATTGGATTTAAGAGCTGGTTGTTCCTTCCAATTGAAATGTCAATTTATTATTGTAAGGAATTGTTCTAAAATTTTATTTAAAAAAACAGTGTTATTGAAAAAGGGTCTTTGGTTTGTGGAATTTTTGTTTGTTTTTTACAAATGATCTGAAACATATGCATTCTTACAAATAAAATGTTAATTGAGTGTAAACCCTTCATGGGAATTATAACAATCTTGTAGCTTAATAACGCCCAGGGTCAGAAGAGGAATGTGCAAATTTTCTTAATGACTGACAATCATAAACAGGATTTTAAAATACTTCTGCTCTCATGGGTATTTGCAATTTTTACTGAGCAGGCAATAGATAGCAGGTGTTACTCTTGCCACTGAATTAGAGGCTTGACTTCCATTTACTTTTCAGCTTTAAAGTCATATGCAGGTAAGCACTGCTCCCCAGCAAAACTCTAGGTGAAGCTATTTGTGGTGTTTTCCATAAGGTAGCAGATTCCACAAGGTAGCTCACGTGCTTTAGCTTATAGAGCTGGCACTCCCAGGAGGGTTTTTTATGCTTGTCCATCTTGGAGAAAAAGTGGAAGGTAGCCAAATTCAAATGGTGTGGATTTCACAGTGTTTAGCAGGTGTTTAGAGCGCGCACTTGTGTGATATGCGTTCTGTGGCATGTGTTGGCAGAGAGGGGCTGCACAATTGCTCTTGTGGACTGCACGCTTCTGAGACTGTATATAGACATCTACGTAAAAAATTGGTCTGGCTTTCTGATTCTCTAACGCATTTTCTTCTGAGGTAAACTTCTTGTTAATGGTCTTGTGTTGTTAAATACAGCCTCACTGAAAGGCCTGAATACAAGTATTACATGCCAAAACACTTTGTTTCTCTAATCAAAGATTATACATTCACAGATGAGAAAGAAGAAGGAATACTAGGTAGCATACTTCTACCTAGTTTTCAGATATCTGTGCTTTCTCCTGAGGACCATATTAACCGCAAATATGCCTTTAAGGTAAGGGAATCCATTTTTCAGTTTAATTTTATGTCTGAAAGCACAACAGCCTAGTGATCAGAACTCATTTTACTTAGTTGTTATGCAAAACAGCATTGACAAACAGCTTCTGAGACTGAGTTTTGCATAATACAGTAGCAGAGAATGAATATCACTTATTCTTAGCCTCTGATTTTTAGTTCATGGATCTTAAATACTGTGTGGTGTTTTAGAATTGTAAACTGCATTCGCAGCTAGACTGACCCACTACTGAAAGTTCTTTAGCTATTTAGATACAAAGTATCTTTACATATAAATAAAATTAAGGTTTTATTATCACTTAAATCATAATATTACATGAATCACTGATAGGAGTGTTTCACAGCTAATCTTTTAAATCATGATATAATTCACTGTACTAAATATTTTCTCTTGACTTTTTTTTTGTTGTTTTATGAGCTGCTTTTGGCTCTTCTTGTGGCCTCCTAAGCAACACATCATTTATTTACTATGGTAAGTACACATTGAAAACTTACTGTATCATTCAGACTGCCAAAATCTATGCCAAAATCTTATTTATAATAATTATATTAATTGACATTAATGGATAATCAAAATAGTTCTTAATAGATTGAAGACATTTAAGGGCTTTTTGAGGGTATTAATGAAGAAGCAGCTATGATTGACTGAAAATTATAGGCAATTATTTTGAAAATATGAATGCAGTGACAGAAACATTGAAGTATTCCTTCTGATATTTTTTTCTGATAATATTATTTGCTGAAATATTATAGAAAACACTAGAGCAAGTATACAGTAACGTTATTTGCCTCTTTTCTTTTACAGAATCTTATATTTTTATTGCAATGACCATGTCATTTCCAATCAGGCAGCTCATCCAAACATGAGGACCTATTATTTCTGCACAGATACAGGGAAGGAAATGGAGTTGTGGATGAAAGCCATGACAGATGCAGCACTTGTGCAGACAGAGCCTGTGAAAAGGTACTGTGGATTGACAAAACAGTGGCACAATGTGTTTCTTTCTCGTATTTAGTTTGATTTATTTAAATGAAAGGGTATAGCTTAAAATAGAACGTAAATTGGCTGAAGTTATTTCTCCTTATATTGAAAACCCCTTACTACTTCAACAGCATTGGATCAAATTTTGAAGTAGTAAAAGTAATCTAAGTTCTGTTCTGAATATGGATGCCTTGAGTGTAAAGGGCTAGAAGAAAAAAAACCTGATCCCATTCCTTTAGCCAGTGGCATCAGAAGAAGTGCAATGACAAATAGTATGTGCAGGCATGTTTGACTTCCCCTGCCCTCCTGACTGAACAGCAATAGCAGCTCCACTGGTGGTAGTCTTTGGCTTAAACCTGTCATAAGTCTCAAATTCACAACCGTAGTTTCTGGCTAAATTAAACAGTTATACCTATGGGCAACCTGTGGGGAGCCATTCTTGTTCATCATTAAGCTGTCATCAAATTTATACTTACCTGATCTGGAGCCTTCTCTTTTGTGTATCTGTGTGTTGACAATGAAAAGCAAGTTATCGCTGGAAGCCTTGTCTTCTCAGAAACTGAATATTGTCTGCTGCTGTCTATCCAGTAAGAATTGTTTTCTGTCTGACTGTGGTCCCTTGGGTCAGCTCCATGGCATCTAGAACGGAAACCTCATCAACTGAAAATTTAAAAGCTCCTCGTTATTGATGGCACAGAAGTTATTGCTGATGGCTGCTGTCACTTGATCTATTCTGCACTCCGTTAGTTCCTGCTACACTAGAGCTAAATGAGTGGCAGCAATGCTGAAAATTTTTAAGCTAAAAAAAAAAAAAAAGTGAAAAACCACATAGACACAGGTACCGGAGAAGGAAAAGGTGCAATTTTTTAGAAGAATAAGCAGATTAAACTTGTTGTCAAAATACAAGCAATCTTTTCAAATTTTGCATCGCTAGGGCAAGTCATTTCTGTTAAGTTGTTCCTGTCGTTTCTATATCCCATGTTCCAGTATGGTGCTGGCAGAAGCATGAAATGGAACGCAGAATTATCAGACACTTTTAATGTTAATGTTTTAGTGTTTTGTGAGCTTTTCAGTCAAACATAATGAAACTTTTACTTACAGCAATCTACAGGACATTCAGAAGGATAACAGTAAATGAGGAACACCCTTAAATTTGTACCTGTGCAACTTTTTAGTGACTAATCTTAAACAGAAGGTTGAAATCTTAGCTTTCATCTATGATTCTTTAAATATGTAGGTAGCATATGAAGTATTTCATCATCTGCATTGCACAGCATAGTGAAACAGCTTAACAGAAAAAATACGTTTTTCCCTGTACTTGAAAAAATAACACAGGTGCTTCAAGCTCTCGGGTGTCATGTGTGCTTTTCTCAAAAGTACTGAAAATAAAATATTTCAGCTTATAGAAAGGTGGAGTGGTAGGTCCAATTACCACAATGAAATTTGATCTGATTATGTATGATATCATATTATATATAAAGATGGTTATGTTCTCTGTCTCCTGTAACTCTCCTCATGTTTGGGAACAGTAGATGCTACAGGTAAAGGACGAGCACAGTGAGACTAAGCATAAGCAAGTAGATACTCTAATAGCATTTTCACCTTTTGCTTTCTCCATTCAGGCTTTTAAGAGATTGCTCTTAAAAGAATGAAGTTACCTTGACAAAATAAAATATCTCATTTAGCTTTGTGAATAATAAACTTAATCTGAAAAATCAGGTTTGGTTCACATTGTAAGTGTATTGTGGATAGCTGTGGTAGCTTACAGTTACAGAAATAGTTAAATCAAATCAGAGCCACTTAACTTGGAACAAAAACCATGTATTGATTGTGTAAGTACTTTGTAAGGGGAAAAATACTGAAGTGGGTCATTCTGAATCTTTTTTGAATCAGTGAAATGACTTTCGTTCAGTATTTGCAATATTATGAAGATTGAACATTTAAAGAGGACATCTTGGTAGTAGAAAAAAATTAACGTGAAAAGAGTGTATCTCCATCTGACAGAGCCTCCTTCATGTCATCTTCATAGTCTCTCCCGTAATAGTCAATGCTCTATAGAAGATACTTAGTAAACTTAATTATACAGACAGATGTTAAATTATTTGTGACATTTCTTTTAACATAAGAAGCAATCTAAAATCGTAATGGAAATATCCACTCTTTTGTGCAGCTCATTGATACAGCTGTACAGTTGCGTTTGCTGCCTCAGAGCCTCGTGAGACGCGTAGTGAGCTCACCCCGGCGCAGCCTTACAGGCCAGTCCTCCTTCCAGGCTGCAGTGCCGCGGCTGCTTTAACAAGACAGATGTGCAGTCCGCTGCCATGAAGGGTGTTCTAAGCCTCCCAAAATGCTTGGCCATGCACTCCTACGTGCTTCGTTCAGCCGCAGTGCCTGTTCCAACACCAATGTGTTGTGCCTGTTTCGGGTGTTTGGCAGTGGGTAGGCAATCGGTGGGGATTCCCAATACAGTTGAGCTTATCTAACACTTTTCATCCAGCTATATGTGCCCCTGCAACCTGCCTGGCATTGCTTCGGGTGCTTATCTTACTCCTTGGTGAATCAGTGTAGCGCACTAAAAGAGCAGAAAAGTACTCAGCGGCAGAATTGGTAGTTTTCTGCCTGGATATCACAGGCAGAACAGGCTTGCCAACAGCTAAAACAAGTGTCAGAAGAGGAAAAAGAAAAGCAACTTATGTAACACCATCTTGTTTAAATTCAGGCAAGAAACATTAGAACAAAACAGAAGTAGATGTGACCTCTTTGAAAAGTTTGTTAGTAGTCTTGAAATAATTACTTGAGAGAAAATACTTTTCAAGACTAGTGAATACTCAAAGACTTTCATGTCTGTTAGCTATAATAAGGAGGAAAATCCTTCGGACATCTGCTTCTAAAGAATCCATCTTTTGGCTATTAAACCAGTTCTTAAAATGAACCATGTAGCAGGATATGATCTTATCCAGAAGAAATACTGTTTCTTGCCTGTAAAAATCTGTTAAGTATTAAGTATTGTATTACCTCATCTCTAAGTAGCCTAAAGTTTGGCATGCACATAGCTCTAAGCATAAATGATTTCGGTTAGTCAAATTCAGCCAGTGCCTTTGTTTCTCAGTTCTGTTTTCTCTAGACATTCTAACATTGTACTGAATACAGTTTTCTAACAGACTAGATGCTTATGATACAATAGCTAGAGTTATTAAGAACTTACTTCCTTAAATATTTATGCAAGCTGATGTTGAGCCATTCTTAAGTGCTTGTTAACATAAATGGCCTAATGATAAGTCAGAGTTTTTACAGTATAGTTCTTTAAATCCAGAAGTCATGGTACTTCCCTGCTTATAGGACTCTAGAAATCCAAACCCAACAGTCCATTAAATTGAATGTTTCAGCTTTAAATAATTTCAGAGCTACCACCTGTATCTTTATTTTTCTGAAGATGTGACTTCCTTGGACAGAAAAATATAAAAGGAATATGTAAAACATTAAGTTGTGGGGGGGTTGCCCTGTTTTCCATAAAATTTTCTTACTTTCAACATAGTTACCCACATAATACAGAATTGAGTTACTGAGGTGAGAAAATAAAAATGTAACCATTTATTTTAGAACTGATTGCAGGTACAGCAGGAAAACTCTTTTCTGATGTATTACTGCAGGGAAGGACAAATATTATTTGGTCCTATTGACTTAAATGTAATTACTCCTTTGTAAACATTTTTGTTTTAATTTTACCTAGATAGTAAATTCAAGTTTAGTAATTTACTGAAAGACCTATCAAAATAATTAAACACTAAACAATATGTCTAGTCAGTGTGGGACTGTTTGAGCTTATGACTTAAAATATGATCTCAAACAACCTCTCTGGATTACCAAAATGTCTTACTCATTCTGTGTTGTGTCACTGCAGACCACAATTAAGTTGTATCTATGAGTGCTGGTTGCTTGCATACTTGTGTTTGTAGATGCTAGTATCCCCCAACATACTGATTTATCATTTTTACCCTAAATGCTGATTTCTCTATTCTACCATGTTTAAGAGCATCATTTTTCCATCCCTTCACTGTCAGCTGTGTGTGCTAGAGCTTTTGTTTCTTCCGAGTGATGCAGCATGTACTAAGAAAAGATTTCTTTTTTCTCCTCCTAGTGTAGTTGCTTTCCCTGAACAGCATAAGCTAAGCTGCCAAAAAAGCACTTGTTAGCATAGCGACATCCACAGTGGGGGTTTACTGACGTCACCATGTTTGGAAAGCTGGCTTTTTCTTTTCAAATGCCTCTGCCTGGCTTTGTTAAATCACAGTCCTTACATCCGTCTGATACTTAATTGCATGCCCTGCACCCAACCCTTTCAGAATTATTTATTTATATAAAACAGCAGAAAGTAGTACTTCTCCTGCATTACTTTCCCATATATATTATTCCGGTTTGGTTGTAGAAATCTATAAATTGCGTTCAATATATGCTGAAAGACGTGTTTAATGCTTGTTCTCTTTGTCTTTTCCCTCTCCCATCCTCAGAATACCCTTCAAGTCTTGTTGAATAACTCTTTGAAAACCAGATATAAATACTGAGCCAAACATAAATATGGATTTATGTTTCTTACATTTACCTGTTAGTTTCTGATCATTCTTTCCCATTTGGATCCTCTGCTGTGGAAAGAGATCTCTTGCTCACACTGAGTTGACTAATTTGATGCACAAAGTTAAAAGAGGGCCCAGAAGTCTATTTGAATGTCAGTCATTCAGCCTCTACACCATCGCCAAGAATGTCAAATATAAACGCTTGGCTCTGGTGCGTATAACCATAGTAACAAGCGATACAGCATAGAGATTGCACAGAAAAACAGTTCTGTCGTTTTGGGGTTTGTTATTTTTTAATTAAGATCTACAGTGGAAAGTAGTATGATAGTGTAAATCGAACGCTGTGCCAAGTCTTGACTTTGCCACTGATCTGATGAATGTCCTTAGAGATGCCACTCTCCCTCTGCACCACAGATTTTCCAGCTGTAAAATGGCAACTGCTTCTCTGCTGTAAAGCACCTTGAGAAAGATTGATATAAAGTGCTACATAAAGTGCACATAAGGTGGTACACTTAAGGCATGTTGCATATATTAATGCCTGTGTTTAGGATTATTTGCAAGGTAGTCCTTACATGTATTTGTAAACTCTTGAGCGCTGTCTGAAAATTGAAATTTTAACATCCTTTTTTGACTTGGTAGTTGTGGGAAATGGAGTTCTTCATTCACTTTCCTTTAGTTTGTGAGAGAACATTGGTAGAACACAGTTTTGAGGTGGGAGGGAGGAGGTGGTCTAGGTTTTTTCGGAAGCTTGAGAAGGAACCTAGGCAGAAATGTTTTGTCTTGGGAGCAGTATAAAGTCTTGGGGGAAAAAAATAAAAATAAAACACCTCATTTTTAAATTGCAGTAGGAGTTTAGCATAGCATTTCTTTGCTGATACTTGGAAATTATAGAAAAGATGACGCAGGTATAGCAGTTCCACCACATGTGTCCTCCCACACAAAAGTCTACGTAAAAACTGGTTCTACATTGAGATATTTTTCTCTAAAAGTTATGGTTGGCAGAAATACTACCCTCTCCTTTCTGCTAGCAGAAAATATCAGATGTATCTAGCCTCTATATTTAATAGTGATGTATGAGAAAAAAAACACTGTTTAAAAATAATGCTGATGCATATAGCCAAAGAGGTGTTTATGTTAGATTATTGGTATGAATGTTTCCATTTGCAATATGTTTGACGTATGTGTACGCTTTCACATCAACAGCTCAGGAATAATCACTGAATGAAAAGGACTATTTTGAGATACTTATATTGATAGAGTGAATTTAGGACGACTTCTATATCATTCTGAAGTATCAAGCAGAGACTGGGATCATCACAACTATGCCAGGAAGAGGCATGGGGAAAAAAAATCACAGACCTTGTTATCATGCAAAGTGCATAAGCATTTCATTCTAACTCATGTACAGTATGCAGGGAACATTGATGTCTTGCTGTTTCTGACTGATATGTTTGAAATGGTGTACGTGTCAATGCAGGAGTCTCTTTGATTCCTTTCGTGTCATGGAGAATTCATAGCAAAAGTAGGGTGGTAATGGTGCATTTAAAATTGTGTCAAATATTATTAGCAGTGGGTAGTATTTTTATAAGGACCTTACAGTTTTCAGTCCTTTATGTATTTGCTGGGGTTCTGTCCCAAATAATTGTTGCCCTCTTGGGAGTTCATGGCTTGAATAATCTATTGGGGAAGCGTAGACTTGTTGGACATTTAAGCTTCATGTTAAAGATAGGGTAAGCAAAAATGCTTACGGCCATGTATGTTGTTACTCTACTTGGAACTAGAGCATTTTTCAAAGAAGCAGTCATACTTGGGCTCTCGATCAGTTGTGTATGTGATGGCCTTTTTACACAGAGATTAGGCACTTGAACTGGACACGGTTATAAAGATGCATAATGCATTTGCAAAAAACACGCCAAAGTGTGAAAGGTTAATTTGACATCATCTCAAAATAAAGTTTTGTTCTTGGTTTGGTTTTATACAGACATGTAATCTTAAAGAAATCTCTCTCTTCCTCTTATTTCCACCTATACCAAAAATTGTTGATCAAAACATTTTACATTGTTTGGGTTTTTTTTCTAGTAAGCTGAAAAAAATTGTCACTATCTGAGCTGGATGTTCAGTTCATATGCCAGTATGGGAAAAGATACGGCTTCTTGACATCTTGAAATTTTAAAAAGATAGCTAATAGAACTGCATGTATTGAGTACTTGTGTCAGTACTGTAAAGCAGTAACTGTTCTAAAAATACCTTTATTTTTGTGGTAAAGTTCTCTAAGTCAGCAGCTATTTTCCCCCTTAAAATTAGGGAAGCCACAGTTATTTTCCACTAAATGTATGCCAGCCAAAGTGATAACATACCAGAGAAACCTAATTGATGCCAGTGACCATGAAAAGTTGTTTGCTTTCTTTAAAGGAGCTCATTATATGTTAAATTCAGCAGTATTGTGAATCACGACCTGGTCAGCAATGTAATCTGCTACGGTTTTTAAAGATGGCTTTAAAAATTGTCTGAATTTCAGGCTGTTGACATCTGGAAGTTGTGGTTCTTGGGGAGCCACTGAATAGTTTTACTCTTTGAATGTCCAGTCCTTCAGGAACTAAATATCCACTTTTTCAGACTCTGGCTTAATTTCCTTTTGTGCACATTTTTTCTAGGGAGTAAATTGGAAGTTGCCTTAAAAGATTTACCCACTGTTGTAAACACTTTTAAAATAGCAAAGAAATAGAGAAGCATGGAAGAAAACACACTCAAACTCCCCAACCAAAAAAACCCCAAACCAACCAGCCAAAACCAACTAAAAAAAACCCGAAACAAAACACCACCATCCCCAAAACAAAACCAAAAACAAACAAACAACAAACAACAACAACAAAACCAATCTGTCCTTGATTATTGTGACGATATGTCCCGGTTTTTTCTCTTAAAGACAAGATAAAATATCTGGGCAGGGATTCACTGAAATAACCCTGATAAACACCAATATATTAACTTTTTTATAATTATTATTGTTTTTTAAAGAATGTTTTGTTGCCATTATAGCTTGTCATATATTCCTTTCCAGAGTGGAGAAATTAACCACTGAAAATACACCACCTCGGGAGGCAAATAATATTTCAAACCATCGGGTGCTAATTAAGCCAGAGGCACAAAATAACCAGAAAAACAAAGAAGTGAACAGAAATGAAGAGAAGAAAGCTTTGGAAGCTGAAAAATATGGATTCCAGAAAGTTGGCCAAGATAAACCATTAACGAAAATTAACAGTGTAAAGCTAAATCCTTTGGGATCCGAATACAGGACTTTACCCATAACCACGATTCAGGCTGGACACTTCAGACCAGTTCATTTAAATGGATCTGAGAATAAAGCTGTTGGTGTTGTCCTGGCAGATGCTGGAGATGGAGGTCAGCACAATGCAGTTCAGTCACATATGGAGTCTGAACGCGTTATGCAGAGAACTAATTCAATGCTGCAGTTGGAACAGTGGATTAAAATACAAAGAGGAAAAGGGCAAGAAGAGGAAACAAGAGGGTAAGTACTGTGTAATGTTTCTTTTTTCTTTTTTTCTTTTTTTCTTTTTTTTTTTTTTGCTGGGCATTCTAGCAAATAACACTTAGACTTGTGTCCTGGTTAGATTATTTAGGTTTTGGTCTATATTACATAAATATGTAAATCATTGTTCTCTGTAAGAAGTAACTGGATGACTGCTCAGAATAGATTTATTAAAGCTTTTCTTTTATTAACACTTGAGTGATTATTAATAAATTAAACTGTATTTATAACATAAATAAAAATGGCCAGAAAGCCTTTTTGGGTGTTAGAAATTGCTCTATCCTAGGAGAGAGGAGGTGTCATCGAGCATAACAATGCGTTTTCCTCTTAAAATCTGTTCTTGAAATTGCCCTGTCTTCAGCATTTTTGTTCACAAATTCTTGTAATAATATTTTATTTAAAATTCTTCAAAAAATATTCCAGGGAGGTTTTCAACTTTAAACAATCTTTAATTGAAGAGAGAGAGAAAAGCTTTACCTAAGAGTAAGACATAGAAATCTAACTTGATGCTTAAAGCTTCTCTTCTCATGAAATTAAACATCTCCCAGTTCTAATATTGAGTTCCAGTTCTTATTCATGAAGCTTTAAAATTGTGTGAATGATATTGAATCTTGTGCCAATAGCAATTTTTCTGTCTGACAGAAGTTTAGGGACATTGCTTCCAGGCTGGCTTATAGCCAAGCAGCTTCAGCAGTAAAATATAAAAGTTATTAATATTACATCAGATGGGAAGTAATGGAGATGCTATCACAGGAGATATTTTGAAGAGTTGGAAATCAGGGAGTTTGAGTATAGATGGATGGCAGAGCAGAGCTTGAGATAGAACCAATTTCAGGAAATACGTTTTCCACAGATTTCAAAATGTGGGGGCTGGGGGCTTTTCAGTTTTTGCAAAAACTTGAAAAAAATTACATTAGTTTGACTTACGCTTGCCAGAATTGGTTGAACATTTCCTCATTGCCTTTAGTCCTTCATTAAATATAATTAGGAATTGTAAATGTGTTGTTTCATGAAGTACTCAACATAAGTAGTTTGATCAAGTTTGAACTTGCAGTACAGAGAGCGACTTGCACGCTCTGACATTTATTTTATTATGCATGCTTGCGTAATGAGAACTGAGAATGCTCTTTGATGCAATTAGATTTTTTAAATTGGACTGTAAAACTTGCGACCAAACAGAAGAAATTTGAGTAGCTGTGCCGTTTTGCAGTTGTGAACAAGTATATAAACCCTAAAGCTGATTTCATTGTGGGAAACAAATAGAGGGAAGTACTGTCAACAATATGTTTCTATGATTTTATTCTTGACTGTAGAGGCCACTTGTTGCTTAAAATAAGGGTGGCACTGATAGCACGAACGGTATGCTTCCAACTGCAGTCCTACGTAAAGGAAACAAACAGAAAATGAATTGGCCTTGAGCTATCTTTTTTGCTTTGGGTAGAAGTGGCCTTCAATAGTGATCCAAATTTCTAACGTATAGTGATGTCTTTAGAATGTGGTTTCATTTAAATTTTCGGATTTATTTTTGTTCAGATTGCCAGTTGCTGGCTGGAGGCAGAAATTTAAGTAGAATTGAAGTTGGTGAATGAGAGTAGAAAGAAGCTCCGGTTTATGTTAAAGCTTAAGGTTGGGTGAGTGGCTAGTAAGGCTCTTTGTAGTAAGACCTGTTCAACTCCTAACTTGAATTTTTGAGAAAAGTAGTCTTCACTTAATGGGGAAAAGTTGCTGACTTTTAACAAAGATGCTTTCCATTGCATCTGTCCCTCTAATGTGTTAGAGAAATCATGGAGAATCAAACTGAGTATCTCTGGTGTGTCAGGCTGAAAAAAAAAATAGGACTTCAAGAATACTAAAATGTTAAACAGGTTTAATTAAATAACTATTTATTAAATAAGAGCTGTTAGCTGTCCTCAATGTGGAATGAAAAGGGTTCACTGTAAAAGTAAGAATTTTTTAGAGGAATGTGCTGATCCCTTAGTAGAATCACAGAATGGTTTAGGTTGGAAAGGACCTTAAAGATCATCGAGTTCCAACCTCCCTGCCATGGGCAGGGACACCTCCCACTAGACCAGGTTGCCCAAGGCCACATCCAGCCTGGTCTTGAACACCTCCAGGGATGGGGCCTCAACAACCTCTCTGGGCAACCTGTTCCAGTGCCTTACAACCCTCAAAGTGAAAAACTTCTTCTTAATGTTTAATCTAAACCTGCACTCTTCCAGTTTAAAGCCATTCCCCCTCGTCCTGTCACTACATGCTCTAGTAAAAAGTCCTTCCCCAGCTCTCCTGTAGGCCCCCTTTAGGTACTGGAAGGCCGCAGTAAGATCTCCCCGGAGCCTTCTCTTCTCCAGGCTGAACAGCCCCAGCTCTCTCAGCCTCTCCTCACAGGAGAGGTGCTCCAGCCCTTGGATCACCCTCGTGGCTCTCCTCTGGACACGCTCCAGCAGGTCCATGTCCTTCTTATGATGAGGACTCCAGAGCTGGACGCAGTACTCCAGGTGGGCGCTCATGAGAGTGGAGTAGAGGGGCAGGATCACCTCCCTTGACCTGCTGGCCACACTTCTTTTGATGCAGCCCAGGATCCGGTTGGCCTTCCGGGCTGCAATTGCACATTGCTGGCTCATGTTGAGCTTCTGGTCAATCGGCACGCCCAGGTCCTTCTCCTCAGGGCTGCTCTCCAGCCATACCCCACTGAGCCTGTATTTGTGCTTGGGATTGCACAAATTGGGATTGATAGCTTGATTTCCTGAGAAATTAATGAGAATGATGGCAAAATTCAATTCTTGAAGCTGTTATCTGCCATTTCCGTGGATCTAGACACCTAGTTTTGCAAGAGCCACACTAATAACGACAACTTATGCCTTGAGGAAGACAAACCTTTTTTTAAACCAAAAATAAATGTCTTTTTACTAAAACCATTCCACTTCAGTATCATTTTATTGAATTAATTTTGCACAAGTCAGTTACGAGTAAATATTTTCCCCAAAAGTAGTTCATTTGAGTGGTCTTTCTCAAATGTGAAAAAATACAGAGCATGGTGAGGTTTCTTGTTGCTGCTAACTGAGGGTGTGAGCCTCTGTCTCCTCACCTTGCCCATATAAACCTCATGCTAAATAATAAATGCCTGTTGTACACCACCAGGTTTACGTCTTCACTCTGCCATCCTTTGCTTGTGAAAGTTCTGTATTCTGGGCTAGCTGGTATTTGCATTCTTTAGGATGAAGGACTGTTCTGAGGTTTTGATCTGCAGGTATTCATAACGTTGCATAACTAAGCCCCTAAAGGTCTAGCAGCCAAGTCGCTTTCCCAAATAATCCAACTTAGACACCAGAACTGGCACTGCCACCCAACAGTAATCCTAGACACAGCCTCTAAAGGTGTCTATAAACTCTGTGGAAGGCTTTTTTTTTTTTTTTTTTTTTTTCCATATGTGAACATTTGTAGTGAGCTATTTATGATGACAGTTGCAGAAATATTTTGCAACCTTACAGTGTACATGACTGCTTGACTGGCTGGGGCAGGCTCCCCCTGTGTGCGAGGCAGGCGCC